GAGTGATGGCCGAGTATGTAGGAGGTGCTGGGTTCCTTCCCTAGTCATTTAAAAAAAAATCTTCAGAGGAGACAGAAGCAGGGAAGGATCCATAGCACAAGTAATTCCATTCCTTGTCCTCCCTTATCAGTGTTTCTGGGGCCCCATGAGTCACAAAACCTTGCTTGATGCAGAGGAGAAAGACTGTTAGGCTCTGCAAGCTGCCATCTGTACTAGAACCACACTTGAGACTTAGAGGAGGCCAGTCCATTTCTTGCTGCCTAGAAAACAGAAATGGCTCTTGGGTGCCTGTGAATGTACCCAGCAATATGTATACCACATGCTGAAGAGCTCTGCTGGAGAGCCCCGTCTGCAGGCTGTAACACTGCTCCCCGGTGGGAGGAAAGTATTATAATTGGTGTTGGCATGCAGTTCTTCCTGCCACTCTGATCCCAGCTTGATCAGCAACTTCCAGGTTCTTATTATTTCAAATCTCAGTGGTGCTGATCTCTCAAAGCTAATTGCTTTTCTGCTAACGCGTTCTCCAGGGTTTGTCTCCCTAGAATGATCATATGGACCCAGGTAGGTACTGCTCTTCCCTGCCTCAGTTTGGCCTGCTTCTTGTGAGTGGGGCTTGATATAGAAAGGGCGCTAGCTACCTGACCCTACCCAACTCCAGCAATGCCAGGCAGCACTTACCCTAACCTGGAATCAGATTGGATCTTAAACCTTTCAGTGGGCCTTTGCCTTAATTGTAGTAGCTGAGAAAAGTCCTAAATCTTAAATGAGAACTTTGAAACTTTAAGAAAAATTGGTTTCCATCTAAAGCCAGGATAAAAGAATTCAGTTAGTTGAATGTTGATCTAAGTGCCACTAGGTGGCAGCCCACCGAGTCCCCGCTCAGCTTGGACTTTGATCAGGACTTTTGGACCTAGGAAAGACTTGTAATTGGGGAATCCAGGATAATGTTGTCATCCCTGAGTTCCAGTGCACCAAGTATCTGTTAGGTCCCTCTGGGATCGTAATTGGCTTTTAGTATGATCACATGTATTTTTCCCTAGCACAGAACCAGAGTCTTTGAAACCTGGTGGGTAGGAATGTGTCTTTACCTGTCAGGAGAACACCATTCTTGGCTGAAGGGCTGGAGATGGTGACAAAGCAGAGAGGTGCCACCAGGTTCTGCAATCTCAGAAACGAGTGCTTGCACACAAAGGAGTCAGCCAGGGTCAGTCGTTCTCTGCAGCAGCCTGTCCTGTCCCCGGGCTGGGTAGATCTCCAGGCTATAATGGTTGCAGAGGGAGCGACAATGGGCTCCAAGTGTGGAGGCCCGCTCTAAGTAGACGTCACCTTGATCTCACCCTACTCCAGTGAGGCCAGGGATGTGCCAGGCCGCAGGAGCAAGGTGGAGGGAATGAGTCAGGAGGGTGGAGAACTGGGAGGACCCATGTCCTTCCAGCTGGTGAGCTGGTTTTCTTGCTCTGGGAGAGGAGCTGGAGCATGCTTCGTGGCGAGTCTGAGTTAGTCCGATAACTAAGAGCATTTGGTTTTATGATCTACTATGATGATACATGTAAGCAGAGGCCTGGAATTTCCAGCCCTAGTATATTCATTCATTTTCTCTCTCTCTCTCTCTCTCTCTCTCTCTCTCTCTCTCTCTCTCTCTCTCT